TATATTTAAAGAAAAGAATAGATTGAAAAAGAGCATTTGTAGAGAACATGTAACGTGTTAATTACTACATCTAAAATTGTTGTTGAAGAGCAAATTAACCAAAAACAATATTTAGTAATTGCGAAATGTCAGCATCCGAACCCGAAAAAAAATACAGTTACGTGATCGCGCTCTGTGCGCGCCTCTCGCCAACCTTATTTCCCAATTATCCTTGAATAAGGTACCACATACACAAAGTGTTGCATCACGTATAAGCGCGAAACGTTCAGGGATTTTTTGGGGTCGCACCTAAGCAGGAAGCTTAAACAAGAATTACTCAAACCGTTAATTTGCAAATACCAAAAAAAACGTATATCAATGACCTTTTCAATAATACAATATATCACAACGATATTTCTATTTAGTGGCATTGCGATGCAAGGTGATGCGTGGGTTTCATTTAATTCGCAAAGAGCAATATGAATCTTTGTTGCAAGGTCCGGAATTTCCGGACCGGAACACTTCCGCATATCCAAATTCTTGAAATCCGCCAACCCAACTCATAAACAGAGGTCAAACATTGTAATTAATTGCTTATTTTATGTTTGTTTACATATATGTTTCTTGTTGTTGTTGCAGGTTACTTTTCTATAGCGCTCGTCGGTCTCATGTTCGTTTTCGGCGGTCTTTTCGTCCTCGTCGCGAATCCTTACGATGTCATCTTCAATTGGGTAATTACTTTTAATCATCAATTTCTTTCTAAATCAGTTGATTGTTTATTTTTTCTTTGTTAATTGCAGAAAATCACGTTTAGCGAAGGCGGCGAAATCTTCGAAATCTGGCGAAAACCACCGGTCGATCTCTATCTACGCGTATTCCTCTTCAACGTGACAAACAGGGAAGCCTTCCTCAGCGGAAAGGAAAAACTCAAGGTGCAAGAAGTTGGACCATATGTATACAGGTATAACATTTTATTTCATTTCAATTCCATATGAATTCAACAAATCTCGTTAAAAATAATATTTGTTTAGTTTAATGATCTAAATTGTGCACAATTAAATAAAATGATGTTAATATTGCAATAATTTACATTTAGAAATATTCAATGATCAAATTTATTAAAAAATTTACAAATTTAAATTCATTTGAGAATAGTTTGCAAAGGTAAATTCTAAAAATTATAAGAAATGAATAGTAAAATCTTAAGTGCAGCAGCGCCGCAATTGAAGTGAAAGCAATAACTTATTCAATTGCGCAACCGAGAGGAACGTAAATTTCAGGCTTCAATTAAACCTAGGAAATGTATTTATATATATATAATATCACAATTCGCTTCTAGAATTGTAGAAGACGAATGAAATATTTATATATGTATAAGTTTAAGCAATGCGAAACATCGAATTACCATTGAACTCTTCGGTGGATGATTTTGTAATTTTTCCGAACGAAGAAATAAATAAGAAACGTAAAGAAAGAGAACAAAAAACAGCTCAGAATCGATGTTACGCAAATAGTTTGCCCGAGAGACAATTTCTCCGACCCGTTCATTCAATGTAAGTGTGTGTGCACATTGCGTAAGGAGAGGAGAGCCAAGGATAGCCAGCGTAAGCTCAGGGAATCCGCGGTTATTCAATTGTTGTTATGAATCACCCGTGGCAACGGTGCGCGGATTACGCTACGGAATGAGCGGTAGAAAGCAAAGCAATCAAACACAACACAAACAAACAAACATAAGGAAATGCGATCGCGTAACGACGATTTTTCTGTTGTCAATTACAGGGAGATGATGTCCCACGAGAACATCACCTTCAACGAGAACGGTACAGTGTCCGCGGTGCCGACGCATCCTCTGGTCTGGATGCCCGAGCTGTCCGTCGGTGATCACGAAACGGATCAGCTGATCCTGCCGCACATCGCCCTGCTGGTAAGTCCAGGATCTACGTTGCGTAACCTTAATGGAAGAATTATCATGCGAAGAGAGTGATCTTCCGTTGCGCAACCGCTTGCTTGCTTGCTTGCTGTCGATGGATTTGGTTTAATGGGTCATTGGCTTCGGGCGGACCTCTTATCTGACCGGCAATTAAAATACATGGGACCTTGGCAATATCCTAGGAAGACGGGATTATCGAAAGAGCGAGCGCTCGAGGGTCAAAGGTCGCGTCGGTCAACGTATTGTTCGCTACCAATTCTTAACAAGAATACACCCTAACAATTACATAACACATTTCAATTCCGTAGACAAAAATTACGTTACTTAACAGCTCTTATTGTTTCCAATTAGGGAAAAAGTTCAACGATTTCTTCAAATTTGCCAAAAAAAAAAAATCGTAATACAATTATTGCATAAACCAAAACACAGCACATTCCATTCAGTCAATCCAAACAGTTGCATAAGTTCTGTGATATATTACAATTGATTCACAAAACGTTTCTAATAATAGCAACAACTTTACTTTTGCCTTTTCTTTTTTTTTGCAACAAACCAATCTGAACTACGTTAAGAGTAAACAAATCTTAACTCTATTTAAAGTAAACTAATGCAATTGTTTATTAACCTTGATGCCGAGCAGATTCAGACTTTCATTCGTAACTTTCCAGAAAACACATTCAAATTATAAACACATCTATAATCGTTTGTGACAATTCTTCAATATGCGTTTTACAAATTTACACAATCAATTCGCAAAACTTACAAATTCAGCTTTCATTTTCTTATTAGAAATTCAGACACTTTCATAACACATTTACAGGTTTTCAATTTATTTTCGTATTAAAATTTCCCAATAAAAAAATAATTAAAAAATTTCAATACGAATTTGTTGTAAACCTGAAAAATTCTATTTATTATTTGAAGATTGTGCAGATTTTGCTACAATTCAATTTCACAAAAACTTTGATAAATTCAGCATTGAATAATTGTTTCAGACATTCAGATAATTCAGATAATTTACAAATTTCTATACGAATTTGTTCTAAACCTGAAAAATTCTATTTATTATTTGAAGATTGTGCAGATTTTGCTACAATGCAATTTCACAAAAAACTTTGATAAATTCAGCATTGAATAATTGTTTCAGACATTTTCAAAAATTTCCCAATAAAAAAATTATTTACAAATTTCAATACGAATTTGTTGTAAACCTGAAAAATTCTATTTATTATTTGAAGATTGTGCAAATTTTGCTACAATTCAATTTCACAAAAACTTTGATAAATTCAGCATTGAATAATTGTTTCAGACATTTTCATATCACATTTAGAGGTAATTTATTCATAAATTTTCTTTTAAAATTTCCCAGAGGTTTTTAATTTATTTTCGTATTAAAATTTCCCAATAAAAAAATAATTAACAAATTTCAATACGAATTTGTTGTAAACCTGAAAAATTCTATTTATTATTTGAAGATTGTGCAGATTTTGCTACAATTCAATTTCACAAAAACTTTGCTAAATTCAGCATTGAATAATTGTTTACAATTTTAGCTACACGATTCTTGAAATAAACACTAAATTACATCATTTTTATCAACGTTGTTTTATCATCTCCAATTAACAATCTGGTTCAATCTATCACTACTAGTTGTTGTTGTTTCCATCACCTCCTCCTCTTTCATTTATCATCGCTCGCAATTTCAAAACTCGACGTAAAAATTCTATTTTGCAAGTATTATGTAACGCGTACATAATCCCATGTAACGAAGACGCGATAAACGCGTAATCGAGATACTTAGGTCGTGATCTCTGGGTTAAAAGAAAAATATAAATAGGATGAAACTCGTAATCCAGTCCGAGCGAAATCTATATATTTTCATATAAAAAAAGCATCAATTAAGTATTAATTGCTTGTTAAAAACTAATTGGCGAACTTTGAAGTGCCAACTCACAGTACTATTATTGCAATCCCGTAATGAAATGCAAATCATCCGGTTAAATTCCAAAAAAACATCTCATATTCTCTCTCTCCGTATCGCAACAAAAAAAATAAATATATAAACGAAACACATAAACTAATGTGTTTGTTAGTTATGCGAGGAATTAGAATAAACGATGAAAAATGGCAAAAATATTTGAAGGTCTCTCTCTCTCAATTATTCCGTCTACTACTGAGACCGACGTTTATTTTTTTGGAGAGACAATAAAAAAATTGATACAAACTACGTCAGAAGTTAATCGAATTCCAATTTTGAACGTTTTATTAAACTTTTCCCAAAACAGAAACTCTAATGAGCGTTAAAACAGTTCGTTTGCATTAATTGCCACTAAATTGAAGGTGTAGTATCGATGTAATTAGTGCAATATTATTAGTGCGACAAACGCGTAATTATTTGTAGCCGGGCTCTGGGCAACTTTCGAACAGTGCTCTTGTTTTGAAACGAACATTTTATGCCCTAATTTAACAACACGTCCAAGCAAGCAAGCAACAGTTTGTAAAGTGGAAAATCAACAAAAAAAACACCCGGATTTTCATTGAAATGAAAACAGTTACGAACTTAGATCATCATTAAAGAATTGATTTGAAAATTGTATAAATTAAATCAAAAATATTTTAACTGTTAGTAATAGCGTTAGCATATATTTATTGATAAATAATAAAGCTGTCCAACTGTCAGAAAACGGTTACTTGGAAATCTCTAAATTTATGCAGATATTGAAAAACAGTGCGAATCTATTGAATAAATTGGTAATAAAATATGCTGATGAAATCCAATTGTGGTGATTTAATTAAACTATAAATTGTATTGTTTACTGCTAAACGTGTTCGAAATTCTGTAAGCAAAATTATTTTGTTAACTTTGAAATAGAGATCAGCAGTGAATGTGTAATTGTTTCTGTATTGTTGTTATGTTGATTGATTGATTGAAATCTGTTGGTTTGCAGAGCATTGCGGATGTTGTGTCGGACAAGTCGTATTTTACGAAATTAGGATTGAATCTGCTCATCAGACAGACGGACACTCATCCGCTGGTCCAGATGAGCCCCAAGGAATTCATGTTCGGATATCCGAGCACCCTGATGACACTAGGCAACAAGTTCCTGCCGGGTTGGATCAACTTCGAGAAGCTGGGTTTAATCGATCGGGTAAGTTGTTGCTACTTTCTCTCTCGCCTCGAGTACGAAATCTAATGATCTAATTTCGCCAGATGTACAACTTCGAGGGGGATTACGAGACAGTCTACACCGGCGAAGAAGACTCATCGTTGTCCGGGCTTCTGGACACGTACAACGGATCACCGCAGATGCCGGAATGGAAAGGCCGTTGCGGCTACGTTCGAGGCGCCTCCGACGGCATGAAGTTCCAGAGTCACATCAAGGACAACGACACGCTACTGTTCTTTAGGAAGAGCATGTGCAGACCGCAGTACCTGGTAAGTTCTTGAACACAAAACTTGATCGACTAATCAATGCAACTGATTGTAGATCAAAGAGAACGAGACCTTCGCTTCCGGCTTGATCGGAAACGTGTATCGCTTCCCGAAGAACGGCATGGACAACGGAAAGTACGACTCGGAGAACTCTTGCTATTGCAGAGATAATAAATGTCTTCGGAGCGGACTTCTGGATGTGCGCGAATGCTACTACGGCTTCCCCATTGCTCTCAGCTATCCGCACTTCTTGGATTCCGATCAGAGTATCATCGATGAAGTTGACGGCTACGTCCCGGACAGGCAGAAGCACGAAACCTATTTCGTTATCCAACCTGTAAGTGATACCTTAAACATAGTTATAAAAAAAAGCAGGCAACAGCTTGTTTCGTGTTTCAGAAATCAGGACTTCCATTGGATTTGGCAGTCCGATTCCAGATTAACATGGCTTTAGGTAAAATCGGGTCCATAGCGCACGTCTCGCGATTTGATAACATGGTGTTGCCGCTGCTCTGGACAGAAATCGTAAGAGATTGTAGATAAAGTTGTAACAGTGAAAAGTAATTTTTTTTGTTGTAATTTGCAGAGACTGTACTCGTTACCAGATAGCATGGCGATGCGCTTCAAGATGTACCTGAACGTCTTCCCGGTGATGACGACGAGCATAATGTGGGCGCTGTTCGCACTCGGCATCACCTTCGTCCTCGTCGCCGTCGTTCGATACGCCCGGCGGAACGGCCACCGAGCCTCCACCTCGAAATCCTTCAACTGGGCCGACGACGACGTCGAAACGGAGAGGATGGACAGCAAATTGACAGCGTACAAGAAAGAGACGATGACCAACAAAGAGCTCGAGGTGTACTTCAACAGCTTGGTGGCTCCGCTCAACCAGGAGCTGGAGCAGCTCAACTACGAACCGTTCCAGGACAAATCCATTAGTGGCAATCACTAGCAGCAGCAGCAGCAGCACAGTGCGCGAGAGATAAAGACTTCAGTGTTTTATATCTTCAATTCCTTGATTGTTATAAATAATACGAAATGAATCGAGAGGAAATTCGTTTCATCTTCGCAACATTCGGCCCAACCTAAAAAACTCTCCATTAATTGCAGCGGGATGTACTTAACATTGTTTTAAGGGAAGAGGACAGTATTCGAATTTTTATTTCTTGTTTTATTTTTATTTTTTTTTACTTGTTGAATAATGCTCAAGAGAATAGAAAACGTTATTAATTGTATATGTAACATTATTATTATTATTTTTGTACGTGATAGCACATCGCAGTGTCTACTTAGGTCCTAGTGTTTAGATATATATTTTTTAGTAGTCTAAGATCAAGTGGTTCGGATAGTCAGTATTAAAAGAAAAAGAAAAATAAACTCGAAAAGCAGGAAATCTTGCCACGCAAATTTTGTTTCTTCTTCATTATTATTTTGTTTTTAACGAAGGAAATTGGTGTTTAACTCGTTTATACTATATTAGTTGTTTAGTGATACGTTTATCTTATTACTGTGTTTTATTACCATTAACTTCGAGTTTTCACTTACTTGATTATTGTCCAAAATTGTTGTGTAATTGTGTCTGTATATATTACTTTTATAATATAATTTATGAATCAGATTGTATTGTTTATTCAGTTTGGGAATATCTGAATTAGTTTGCTTACAGATTCCCTTCGAGATTTCCGATATTGACATGAGTTGGGGGAGCATAAATCAATAGTTATTTGCAACAGATTAACTCATTATCGCATCTTTACTTGAAACACACCCAAATTCCCTATCCCAGTGATTCCCAAAGTGGTCTATATCGACCCCCAGGGGTCTATGACAAACTGCAAGGGGTCTACGTCAGCGAAAAATAAAATTTGGGGGTCCATGAAATTGGATCTCAACATACACATTATACTATCTTATAATATAAAGACATATACATTATTTATAAAAGTTCATATGAAGTAAAAAAAAATATTATATATGTTTATAAAATTGTGTAAGTTGTAGGATGTAGGCATTCGCTTTGTGGTCGCAATACATTTTGAACTTGTAAAAACCTGCACATAATGATATACCAGTATCATCTTGTTACAAGCATACTCGCAGTCTCAGAGCAAAGATCTTAATAATTATAAAGATGTCCCAATATAAATAATAAATTTACAAAAAATCAATATCAGGTAAGTAAGTAATTCTACCCAAAACCGAAAAACATTGCAAGGGGTATACGACACAAAAAAGTTTGGGAACTTCTGATCTATCCAATACTACTCTAAATCTATTGAAAGCTACAACTACATTAAAGCACTCACCTCGTTCCATTTGTCTTCAACACATCCAAATCTTAGAGCAATAATCAATAGAAATTCCACACAAAACTTTGATAAAAGTTTAAAATGTTATATTAATTCTCTATGGCGATTACTGAAACAATTGCATCGATTAACAAATCAAAGTCGCATTAAAAAAAATCAACCAATATCAATGAAAATATAATTCCAATTATAATAACTCACCTTTATCCTCACATAACGCCAATTCGTTTCAATATCAAATGATTACTGAAAGTTTTCACAAATCTTGAGATAAATACATACAAAGCTCAAAGTAATAATCAATACAAATTTTCACAACTTTTGAGACGTTGATGAAGTTTAAAATGTCATAATAATTCTCTATGGTGATTACTGAAACAATTATTGCATCGATTAACAAAACAAAGTCGCATTAAAAAATCCAACCAATGTCGATCAAAATATAATTCCAATTATAATAACTCACCTTTATCCTCATATAACGTTTTAATATCAAATGATTACTGAAAGTTTTCACAAATCTTGAGATAAATACATACAAAGCTTTCAAAGTAATAATCAATAGAAATTTTCACAACTTTTGAGACGTTGATGAAGTTCAAAATGTCATAATAATTTTCATCACCATAGTTACTGAAACAATTCGACGGCAAAGCTCACTTGAATTCAGTAGAACAAAATTAGTGGGTTTTCCTCACTTACCTCAATCGTACAGGGATATAAAAAAAAATTTCTTCATTTTGCATATAAATTAAATTTATTCGAAATGTTAAATTTGTTGTTTTTTTTTTCGTCCTCCCCTTTTCACTCGTTATACATAATTCATACTCTCCAGCAGGTCCTTCTCCTCCCCTCCATTTAATCCTCTCGATACAAAAAAAAAACGAAACAAACATATTCTCTAGTTTACAAGATGGAAATAAGTGTAAAAAAACAAAAAACAAAATCAAAACGAACACCGACGAAAATAAGAAAACAAACGAAACAAAACAAAAATGCTTCCCTCTTTCGTTAACAAAACCATAAGGAAGATGAAGAAAATAAGAACAAGATATGTGTTTTGTTGCGAAGGTTTAGGTGTGTGTGATTTGTTACATGCGTTGCTCGCTTCCCTCGACAAATGAAAACAAATAGAAAGTGAAGGATTTAAAAAAAAAATATATATATGTGTGTTTGTGTATGTAAAAATTATATTACAAAGAACAAAAAAAAGAATAATATACTAATTATTTAAAAAAATAAAAAGAAAACAATATAAGAGATTGCCGCACAATTTGTTTTTGCTTCTATTTTTCTTTTATTATTTGGTTTTTTTAGTTTTCCTTTAATTTTCAGAGCACTCTACTCTATTATACATCATTCTCTTTTTCGAAGTTTTCCACTCCACTTAAAATTACATTGAAAAATAATGTAGATACGCGCCTCTTTTTCATTCATTATTATTTTTGTTGTTGTTGTTGTTTTCCAAGAAGAAAATTATAATACATTTAAAACAAACACCACTCATCTCATCTCTCTGCCTGCCTCTCACTACATTTACTTTTATAATATAAAAATACAGTTTGAATTCCATCTATGTATGAAACAAAAAAATATATAGAAGGAGAAAAAAAGAAGAATGGAAACGGTTTCAAAATCATAAAATCAACTGAAAACGTAATAATAATAATTTCTCTTCCTTGAATCAAGTTTAAGAATTAAATCTTCCTGTTTTAATATCGATGACCGGAAGACTTTCCGCTACAAAAAAATATTGATTTTAAACAAATTTCGTAATATAAAAACGTAATCGTTATTTTGTTGGAAATGTTTACAAAATAAAAATTAAATGTAAATACTTTTTGTATAAAATTAAAGGGATTAAAAATAAAGTATCCCGCATTGAAATATTATTATTATTATTATTAGTTATTCGCATCTTTGTTCAATTTTTCACCGATTTCCGTTTCCTTTGTACACGTATAAAAAAGAATTATCATTATTATATAAATTGCGCAAAATAAAACGTTGACGTTAAAAAAATATATATAATATATGTTATGTGTGTGATTCATTTTATTATTATTTCTTTATGTTTTTTTGTTGTTTCTGTATGTATGTATGTATATATATATATTTATTTATATGTAAATCTATATATTATATACGAATGTTTTACTGGTGTTGGTATCGAATATTAATCCTCATTTTTACGTTAAAAACTATTAATGACTTTAAATCCCATGCTTTTATGTACATCGGGTGATCTCTTTTGTTGATTTTTTTGTCTTTTCGTGTATACGTTTACATATGTGTATATATATATATAATATAATATAATATATAAGTAAATTATTTACTATGTACAAAGTCCAGCGCGCAATGTTGTTGTTTTCTTGAGAGGATTGGTTGTCCCCTGCGCTCCCATATTATTAATAAATACTTTACGCCTACTGCTTTATCCCTAAACTCTCTCTTTCATCCTAAGACTAACTTAATTTGTGCCGTCGCTAATCCTCTCGTCATCCCTTCAAATTATTTGGATGCGTCGAGTCGCGATGGTTGGTTGCTGCATCTTCAAGGCCTCGACACTCTCGCCGCCTCCTCCAGTGCTCTCACCTTCATCTCGCGGTCCCTTTGTCTGTAAATCATTAAACAAAAACACGAATAGACAACACACACACACGACGCAGACGGCTCGATCTCTCTCTCTGTCTGTCTCTTCTATCTATCTAATTTTCACCAAAAACTACGTCAATATTCTTTTGTCTTCTAATTTGTATCTTTCTTTTTTTTTTGGTAAACAGCCCAAGCGCTCTCGTCACCTTAAGACGTCTTCGGGTTTAAGCTCTTAAGGGTTTTGTTTTTATAGAAAAGAGAACATTCGCGGTGCCATTCCTCTAAAGAAACAATTACAAAACAAATGAAATATATGATGAATATCGAATGCAAAACTATCCACAAGTTTATATGGAAGACTTGTGGAGAGTTTGCATGTAAATATTTCGGTTGGACTTACCGCAGGTACTCTTCGTGTTGCGCCACGATTGAAGGATGATGTGGCTGGAATCGCTCGCGCTCCATCAAAATCTGCCTCTGTAATTGTTCATATGTCGCAGCCTAATTAGAAAGACAATACGAAAAATTTTCGGTACAATAAATTTATACCAAAAAAAGTACATGGTTATATATATGTAGATAATTCAATGCAAGAGGCGATTAATATCATGGAAAAAGATACTGAAGGTAATACCTTTATAAATTTTCGATATTAGAAGCCTCATGTGTTAGGTGTTAGTAGTTTTTGTATTCTTGTATAAAAATCGATTTTTTTCTTACCGCTCTTACCTGATGGGCAAGCTGATCAGCATAAGGTCTACCCAACAGTTCCGGATGATGTAATCCCATCGGCCCTTCCCTGCCCGGGATCATACCTGGACGAGGATAACCTGGTGCTCCAGAAGCTGAAACGAGAAGAGGATGAGTTTTAGATGTTCTGGGTTAATCGTTAATTCCGATCAGAATTAGAGCCCCACTGACGTTTACCTGGCAGGGGGAATCCCGCGGCTGCGGCTTCCTGCTGCGCCTGCTGCTGTTGCGGATGCAGGTGTAGGTGTGTGTGGGCGTGCGTGTGGGCATGAGTGTGTGCATGGTACTCCGGAGAAATCCCAGCCATTTGTAGACGAACCTGTTGACCGTGTGGATTAAACTTGTGCAAGCCGAAGAGAACATTACCAATTACCATTGGATCTGTGGCAAGAGCCAATCGTTCCGCCTCCAGTTGTGCCGCGTGCGCTGGATGGTGCGGATGTCCAGGCGGTGCACCGGGCGGTCCTTGAGGTCCGGGAGGCGGTGGAATTCCGAGTCTGTCCAACCTCTCTCTCTCCAACTGGCTGAGCTGTGCGCTACCACCAGCTCCCGGATAGAATGCTAAATGATGTAGTGGCATGCCAGGTCCGCCGGGACCAGCAAGACCCGCGGCATAACGTCGTTGGAACTCCAACCAGTGCGGGTCCATGGGGTTTGAGGGCGCCCTCATTCCGCTCTTCATGATCTCCTCCTTGAGACGATCGTTCAATTCGCGCTCTCTCAGCTCGCGGATCTCCCTCTCGCGTTTCTCGCGCTCCAGATGCTCGAGCTCAATGCGCTCTCTTGCACCAGGTCCATACATATTATTCAACTGGTATTGAATCATCGGATCTATACAATGGGGTGGCATCAAAGACCTTGGCATGTGACCTAAAGAAAGCGCAAAAAAACAGTAATAAATACAACATACATTCAATTAAAATCATTCAGTTTTAGTCGTTGTTAATATGATGATCGATGAATGAATTAAACCAATGGTCAAACACCTACATTTTCAGGCAAACACAAACAACCATATTACAATAGCGAGAAAACAGTAATAATATTGAATGTAAACCTGAATCGGTTTCCGACCACTGAGAATTAAGTAATATTAGAATGAATGATGTGCCCTTTACCTTTACCTGGACTGAAGCCAGCGTGTGGTCTCGCATATTCAGAAAGCTGCCTAAGGGCTGGGGTGTCGTTGAATCCCGGACGCGGAAAACGCTCGTAAGGGGCGGTAACTGTTTCCAAGGGTCCACGTGAAGGCGGCTTCACGTCCGGCTTATCGGGAGTAGCAATCTTTCTTGCCTGTTGTTGCTGCTGCTGTTGAGCTCTGTCGCGCTCCTCGCGCTCTTTCTCCGCCTGCTTCCTTAATCTCTCTTCCCGTTTCCTGGCGAGCTTAGAGTCAGGAACAGGCTTGAACGTCAAATCCGTGCGTGTACACGAATTGTAATCGCCACGATTCCAGTGCCGCAAAAATCTGAAAAACAGAAAATAAAGTAAATTAACATAAATCAACGAATAATGAAAATTTTAAAATTATACATTGCGCTCTGGCTTCGATGGCATTCGGAATCCTCGATGCGTGGTTCCGGCGAGGGTCCGCGCGGTGGTCCAAGCGGACTAGTCTGACCCTCGTCTTCAGGGATGGGTTCAGGTTCCGGTTCGATTTTAACCTCCTCAATTTTAGGTATAATCGGGGATGGATTCGGTGGATGCATTTGTTGCTGCTGTTGTTGATGCTGCTGTTGTTGTTGCTGCTGCTGCTGCATGTTCGCGGCTGCCTGAGCGGCGTGTGCCCGTAAAGCTTCCAAGGAAGAGTTGGCCATAGACGGAGGCCCAAGTTGCGGATGATGACCAAGGCTTGGAGGTTGAATCATCAAGTGATGAGGATTCGCTTGAGGTGTCTGCGGTTGGGGTTGCGAGGGTGGCTTATGAACATGACGCATGTTGAGCAGTTGGTTTCCGGGCGACAATCGCTCGTGATGATGGATATGTTGATGAGTGTGCTGGTGGTTCGACGATGACGAGTGATTTAAGCTAGCAGTAGTCGTCGTCTGCGAGACGGCAGCGTTGTGCGGCGAGGCAGTCCTCACCATCGTTTTCTGGTTGACTTTGTGTTGTACACTTTGACTAGAACTCGAACTTGTCGAGTGGGATATTGTAATTGAATGGTTACTGCCGCCACCATAGCTGTGCTTCTCGGTGCTCTGATGCACCGCGCTGTGATGCGAAGTGCTCTGCTGGTGCGTCATCGTCGTCTCCTGCAATAAATAATAATAATAGAAATGAGTATCGAATAAACTGTCTACAAAATAAAGGTATACTCACTTGAGTTGCATGTCTTTCCAAGCCGTGCTCGTCGGGTTCTCGGATTTCCCTGCGCGTGGTTAGACTGGAAGTAGAACTCGTGTTGTGGCTAGCCAACATTGTGGTGCTCGTCTCGATCGTAGGTTTGATCGGATCGTTCCTCGCACTGCTCGTAGGCGGCGGTATCGCGTGCGGTTGAGCCATCGCGTATGGAGAGTATGGATATCCAAAGTATCCATAAGGATGGAACTGGTGCATCGCGTGTGCGAAGAGCGATGGATGCATGATGGCGTGGGGAGGCGGAGGCATTGGTCCGCCATAAGGATGGCCAGGTTGAGGTTGCTGCATTGAAGACGACGGATGTCCCGTGGATCCAATAGATGAAGTCGGGCTGATTAGATTGACAGCCGAATGATTGGACATGGGTTGAGGTGAATTTGTACCCAGCTGACGAAGAGGCGGCGTTTGAGATACATTGATTATGGGTGTGGGCGTGCTACTCGTCGTCTTCGGGGTATGACTCTTCTCAGGAGGCGGTTGACTGGGACTAGCACTTGGCGGCGGCAAAGACACTGACGGCACAAACTCTGGTTCCTTCTTTATTGCATCGATATTGGGTCCGGACGGAGGGCGTTCGTTCAACGTTTGATTCACAGCGTTCTGCAGACTGAATCCAGGCACTTTAACATCCTTCAAACTTTGCAGAGGATTAGGAATACTCGGCGGTCCAAAAGCACCTGAAGAAACAGGCACTGGTGGCACGTTGACAGACGTAGCCAAAAGGGGAACTCCGAATGGCTGAGGCTGCATCTGTTGTTGTTGCTGCTGTGACAGGGACTGCGACTGCGGCGGTGGCAACGGCAACGGCAATGACAACGGCAGTGGTTCCGAGATTTCCTGCTTGATCTTTAGGTTCTGCGGCTCATTTTGACTCGGGGGTTTCTCTCGTGGCGAATGCTGATTATAGTTTGGCATAAAACCGTAGTGGTTCATTGGTGGATTACCCCCGATCGTTACCAAATTGCTCGATTGCATCAAGCTGGGCAGCGGTGGTTGCCCGATTGGTGGCACATTTAGATTCAAATCCGACGGAGGTCTATCCAACCTTTCCGGCCTATCCAATCTTTCTGGTCTATCCATCTGTTGCTGTAGTTGCTGCTGCTGCTGCTGCTGCTGTTGTTGCTGCTGTTGCTGCTGCTGTTGCTGTTGTTGTTGCTGTTGTTGTTGCTGATGTTGTTGCTGCTGCTGTTGTTGCTGTTTCTCTCTCTGTTTCTCCTCCTCGTAATGCGCCATAGGAATTACCGTAGGTATATTGAGCGGCTGAGAAATCTGCGGGTACATTTCCTGTCGATTCGTCAACTCCATCGGTTCGTCCCTGGGTTCAACCTTTATCGCGTGGTTATTCAATTCCTTGGGGAACGAGTACGGCTCTGTTTTACCTGGTTCCTTCACAAATTGTGGATTCACCGTCAGTATCTGTTCTTTGGGTCTTTCGATCATGCTGTCCTTAAGGTTAAGAGGATGATTCGGGGGAAGATGATTCAGCGGCGTATCTTTCATGCCGAACTCCTTGAGGTTGGGCACAAAGATATTGGGTTCCTTGTAGTCGTCCTTTGCGTTCAAATTCAGGGCCTCGCTGCTATCATTCTCCTCCTTAACGATCACCTTATCCATAGTTATTTTTGGTATTATCAACTCAGTTTTGAACTTCTCCGGTTCCTTAACCTCCTTCATCATCATCTCCTTCATTGGTTCATCCTTAATAATCTCCTCGACTTTCACCTCTTGCTTCACGGGTGGCTCCTTTTTGATCTCAGCATACTTGAGATTCTCCGTTCCGAATTTCAGATCGGAAGTAAGGTCTAGATTTCGTTTGATCAAATTCTTGCGCTCGTTGAGATCATCCGGCAGTCGGATGGATACGTTGAGCGGCATTGTTTCGGCTGGAAGCGGTATCGCAGTCGTTATCACTGGAACCGATGGGGTGACTGCTGTAGTCGCAGCTATTATAGGCTTTTCAGAGGTGTCCATCATCTCGACTTTAGCAATCTTCGGTTCCGGTGTGCTGGGCGTTATCGTTGCGACATTGGTCACGACAGCTGCTGACGTTGTGGTGGGTGTAGACACCGGGGTCGGTACATCAGGCACTTCGGTTTCCGTTTCCGCGTTGTCCACCTCATCATTTATCGAACCCGAATCGGTGGTAATACTCGAGGGGCTCTCGGCCCTCTCCCGCTTCTTCTTAAACATACCCAAGTCCTTTTCCTCGGTCTCCTCGATATCGCACTTATCCTGCGGCCGCTTCCGACTTTTCGAAGGCGTTTCCTTCTCTTTACCCTTCTTCTTGTTCGGCGTTCCGCTGCTCTTCTCCATCGGACTGTTCGTCTGTTTCACAGGAGTCTTTGGCTCCGGAGTCTCGGTTCCGCGCTTCGGCCTTGCCCGATTATTGGTCTGCTCCTTGGCAGCCTTGTTCCTTGTTCGCATCCTTTGCGGACTAGCGTCCGGACTATCCACATCCTTCGAATCCTTGCACTCCTTCGACTCCTTAATTGCAGGCGTCGAAATCGGTGGCAACTCGTTGGTCTTCTTCAAATGTGTCCTACAGTCGTAACACAGAATTAAATGATCCTTTCCACCTGGCGCCCAATCGCGCGAATCTAATAATGCGAAGAGAGAGAGAAAAAAAAAGAAGGAAAACAAAGTCAACGATTAGCAAATGGTGCGGTGATGTAAATAGAAGGAGTATTGAATTACTGGTGGTGAAACAGTGGGAACATCTGTACTGGGCCTCGCGGCTATCACTATCATCCTCGGAATCATTGTCGTCTTCCGTGACGGAACTCGTTTCGCCGGGCTCCTTGCCAGGCTGCGGAGAGGGTCGGCTTTCCGTTTCCGTCGGGGTACTATTATTGCCGCGACCTAAATATAATTGCACACGTTAGTTCCTTCGATTCGCTAGAGCCAAGCTCGTATATATTATATCAGAAACAAACAAACAAAAAAACTACACAACGACATCATTGTAGAAGAACGAAAAGAATCAAATAAATATAAAATCATGAATTCATAAGAAACAACGAGTGATGCGCAAGCGGATGTTACGTGAATCGTGATACACTATTAAAAACCACAAAGAAATATAATGGACTAGTTTCGATTAATGCAATGTCTCGAGCCACATTTCTTTTTTTTTATTCCGAGCGACGGTTTTCATTCTCCCATATACCTTTAACATCAGGATACACATAAAAGTTATATATTTTTTTTAAGGATATTTCATAACCACACCATAATGTATTTCAAGTGTTTTGTACGCGCTACTACAGCGTATTTTATCGACAGGTATCAAATCAAAATTTATCATATCAACGAAAGTTGAAATACAATTTTATGAAAGTTATCAGGGTTGCTATGGCATTCCATCATAATACTAAAGTCCAGTATAAATCATATCTAGAAGATAGTTAAATACCGGACTTCAGAATTTAATACATGTTCAAATTTTAATACTACTATGAGCTTGTTTTCAACCGTAAATGAGAAAATAATCAAATCTTGGTTGAAAACTAGATGACAGTTGTATGCTAAATCAATGTAAAGGTGTAAAGATAATTAGAGTATGATTGTAGGAAGCCAAAAATCAGGGAATTTCGAACAATCATTGGTAGGTATTAGGTATTAATTAATCATTGCAGACCTAGAGCAAAGCACCCAAGTTAAAGTTAATATGTGTGGCCGTGTGTGATGAAAGTTATGAAAGTCAAATTTATTTGTGGTTCACCGAACGTGGAGCGATCACAGAAGGGCTAAAGTCAATTTCCGAGGCTTACAATTTGACTTGAATCCACCTGAAACGCTACGCACATTTTTGTTTTAAAAAAAGTAAGATGATGAATCGTTGAAAAAAAAATAATAATAATAAAAAAAAAAGAAATTAAATGCATGCAATACTTATCCCATAAGCGTGTGTAAGCGAGAAAACCAAAAAGCGTTTGTGTGAATGAATTGAAAATAAAAAAACATAAAAATCAAATCAAAAGAAAACGTTTTTTGAAAGCCTATGGAACAGTTAAAACTATAGTCACCTGAAGTAGGTGGTGTATTATTACCCCCTCTACTATTTCTAGTATTTCTAATTCGCCGGAGCGATCCCTGTCTTCGCCTTCGGTGCGGCCTGTTATTGTTCGCGCCCGGTGTCTTCTTCCAAAGGTAGTAAAACTCCACCAGCTCCGGCTGCAAAGAACGATTAGTGGCAGAGGTTTAGTCATCGTTGTTGTCGTCGTCGCGATGAATGGATGTGTGATTGTGGGGCTGATCTTACCGTGTTCCTGTGTGGAAGCAGATCCTTCCTGATTCGAAAGAAATTCTTCCCGAACTGCCTCAAGCCTTTGACGAAACGTTTGGTCTCCTCCTCACTCCATTTCTGATGGATACCCTTCGCCACCGGACACTTGACCAGTGATTGAAGGGCACGGCCGTGATCATAATCGGAGTCGTGAAGCTGCAAGCAGTAATCAACATCTTAGTCATCCAGCACAGATTCTTCACAGGTTCTTTCAGCATCTCTTGCCCTGTGTGTATGTGTGTGCAGCAAACTTACGACATCCAACGCGTTAATGGTGGTATCGTCCCTCGAAGCTGCGTTCGCTCCGTCCTCTGGACAACCTCCGTCGCACATGCCAGCAAATGCAGCCATCGAACGTGCAGCCCTAAGATACATTAGCAAATCGGTGTCTAAGGTCATAGCTGGTATCCATCGGAGCTCCTCTCTTGTCCTGCTGTGCTCCGGATCAGGCGGCAACTGATCGGGCGGTATTCCCGGCCTATAATCTGGTAACCGAGCCTGCATATCGACATCAATTAACAAAAGTGCTTACAAACCGAGATTCGCCAAAGACTAAACGATAAAAGCCAACTACTACACATGTCTTTTTTTAATTTCTCTCTCTTAGTACTAGAATGTTAGTTTTTAATGGGTGAGTTACGTCTGTAGTATGTTAGTATGGTAACTAGTCTCTCTCTTTCAGAGTTCACCATCATGCGAAGTACTCTTTTCACATATGTAATATCTTACGAGTATTGTATCTCAAAAGTAAAATACGTTTATAGTCGTGCAGTCTGCCCAATTACGAGATAATACAAGTCATGCCAATTGTTCGAAAATAATAATAATTAAAAGAAAAGAAAAGGAAAGAAGGAAGAGAGAAGAGTAAAATAAAATACGAATTTTGAAGTTATAAATTTGGGAAAGAAATAAAGGAGATTTCATGGAGTATACAAATAATTGAAAAAAAAAATCAATCAAAACCAACATCATCGAAGTACATCATCAAATCCAGCCAATTTATTTACGTACATACACGTATATAATTAACGAGGCTCGCTGTAACTGCATAAATTCATGTACATACGCGCGCGTATGTCAGAGACATGTGGGTTAATTTGTTTATTCGATAAATTACGAGTTAATTTAGTTTGTTCGCTCCGTGATTTTTACGAGGCAATAAATTTAATTGACCAATAAAACGCGAGTTGAAAATTTCACTCAAAGGACGGAAGAATTTCAAAACGAAAAATAACACGCTGATGATGATATTATTATTATATACTGAATTCAACGAATAAAGATTGAAACGCATCCATTAGTTGGAATGCGCCTGAATACGCGGAAAACCGTTAGATCAACAACAAAATCATTACGAAAATGTCAAGGTGGTAGAGACAGCGAAAATAAGGAACAAACCAGCAACCAACAAACAATATCAGGAATATTTACATAACAAAACGTCGTGTTGTTGCGTGCGTCACCGCATGGGAAGCGCGGATTAAGGGGGATTTGACAACCCTTAAAGTCCGAACGAAATTCGAAACGCGACGTTCATTATCTGCTTACGTCGTTCGCTAATTACGCTCAGTATTAATGAGCGCTTAAGTGCATTCATAATACTGTAATGAATACATTCGTAGCGAATACTATTAACGATCGTTTAAGTGCGTTCCGATTAATTGATAATGCCGCATTCGTAATGCACTAATCTAAATTCTAAATTCTTTTTAACTAGACTTATTTCTGAAATCTAGACAATTATTTGCATTACGCGCGTGCTCCGCAGCCGGACGGGGATTAAGTATCAATCATAAATAAACTCTGCGGGAGAAGGAAAGATTTGTTAGATTTGGATGAAGTCCAAAGAAACATAAACGTCAGCTGAAGAGTATTCGTGGAAGATTCGTTATTGAGATTTTGCAATTCTACGAATTGAAAAACCGACCTCCTCCCCGCACACACACAAGGTTGAAGCCTATTTTTTTTACAAAAACCATAAGCTAATCCACTTTCGAGGAAGAAAATCAACCTCTGTTTTTGTTGTACCTTAAATGTTAATGTACTTCGACTGTGTTAATATTTTGTAGTACCCTTATTTCTGGAGGTAGTTCAGGATGTTGGTAGAAGAAGATAGTAAACAGATAGAATAGAGTAAGAGAGAATAAACGAAAAATAAAAATCAATTTTGATAAATGTTACCGTCTTTGTGTTTTGCGTCATGAGTACGTACATAAATGTCCTTTACCTGGTTGTTGGGACCAACCCTAATTTCACCTTGCGTCTGAGCCATTTTCGTTTCCTTCACTTTATGCGTACTTCTCTATTGTCTTTCTTTCTTTTATAACGTGTATATATATATGCTTGTGTTGTTTGTCTCTGTGTTTGCTAGCTAGGCTTTGTTTGTTTGGTTCTAGCTTTATCTTCCCGCCGTCGGTTTACTATTTGTGTGTATGTCTGTCTCTCTGTGCGTGCCTCCTCTTCAGTTTCCTCTCTGACGCTCCTCCGAAGCACTACCGTTTCAAAAAACCGAGAGAGTCGGAGTGAGATAGAGTATGTGAAAACATAGGGAAGAGGGCAGAGGATGCACCGTTTTCTCTCTTACACACACACACTTTTTTTCGGAGTGAAAAAAAGGGCGCGGGCAGTGGTGTGCTAGAGCGAGTTAGAGATAGAGAGTGAGGAGCCCTCTTCTCTTGCCGCCGGCCACCGCCGCACACACACAATACTTCTTTCTCTAATCCCTCAACGTGGAAGGTCCGCGCACAGGCCCTTTACTTATCTATAAACTCGCACCATCTGAAAAAGAAAGCACACCAACAAAACTTTAGAATTAGATATTCCAGGCACGGCACAGTTTTATATTACGAATTCATTAGGGACCATAAACGAACGGTCGAACGAACGAACGTACAATTGATATATTCCGAAGAAAAGCGACGAGCAAATTACTCGACCGCTCTAAACATTTAAATACACATTTCACAAGAAACTTTTCAACTTACAGAAACTACATCAAACTAATAACATACACAACATCAGCGAGCTCAATCACGTAAACGCAAAGTATATACATAAACAAAATTCGGCGTCCAATTATTATTATTTCTCTCTCACTCCTCACTATTACACCATCAAATGTAAATTCAATCTAAATACAAAACAGAGAATACAATAAATTGCCAAAAAACCATAAAAATAAATAATACATAAACAAATCAAGGAGATAACTACAAACATCAATATTTGTTCAACACGCTATGTAAATCTTTTCACCTCTGGGTAAACCATCATTAGTAACCAAGATGCAACAATCAGAAATAAACCCAGGAAGTGAATGACACATCCTCAACCACAACTTAACAATATTCCTCTTTAACAAATCACAAATTTCTGTAAAAAATAATTGTAACAGTTGCGTTTATCAAGGAAACTCGTTATATAACTTACATTCTTTTGTTATCTTTAAGACATTCGCGATTTCGTATACAAATTTGCACGTTTTAAAAAAAAATAATTATCGTAATAAGTTACGTAAATTCGCATTTAATTTATTATATCAAAATCTAGAGACTCACCTTAGTTGTTTTTTTTTTAAATTAATTTTTGTGTACATATATAGAGAATTAAACCTGAACTCGTTTGTAGTTAACAGTGTTAAATTGAAGTTTTTAAAAGCGTGCGATTATTTGCGCCGCAAGAAACTGGTTTTGAGCGTTCGGAAATAAAAGAATATCCACTTCAACAAATACAAAAAAAAAATCCGAAGAAAGTCGCGCAAGGGTAATTATCTTCAGATATTTAATGGGTCATTACATATATTATCAAATAATTAAAAGAACAAGATTCTTAATGAAGCTTAAATATTATTTTTTTGTTGTTGTTGTTAATATTGAACAAATGCGTACACTTTCAAGTTAAAAATGTAAATAAATTCAAATAATTATGCATTTCTATTTCGAGCACGTTAATTAACGTCATTTATTTTCGTTATCGACTGTTTTCTCTTTAATTCAACCAATCGTTAATTACTTGGAATATTTCAAAATAATGAAGTTAATCATACTTCTTTTCGATTTGCGCAAACGTTACGAGTCTTCTTGATGATGATGATGAACATCTTTATGTTAATTAATTTTCGGTATCCAATTTACTTAATTTCAACAATCTTGGAAAAAAAAAATGTAAAAATATTTAACTTAATATTAATATGAGATTTTCATTGAATTGATTACGAAGTTTGCGCAAACTTTACGAGAATTGAGATCACTTGTCGGAGACGATCACCTGTGCGTCTTCGTTCGTATCTTAATGACAACAGCCTCGCAGGAAGTGACGTAATTAATGAGAACGTACGCGGGTAATTTGTCCCGTTTAATTGCGCAACACGGAGTCTCTCTCTCTCTCGTTAATAATAATAACGACGATGATGATGATAAGCGCGAGTGAAACAAGAGAGGAGATACAAAACAATGCGCCCAGTTATGTCATCGGCACGTTTAACTCGAGCAATAATTACTCCTTCGTTCAGAAAATTGATGCATACATACACGTTCATCGCAAATTACACCCATATTATTATGCATTAATATACATCGGTTAATTCCAATGGGATTTCGACGTTCTCTCCTATTTCACCGTATTCGAAGCGCAAAACATGTAACGTCGTCTGAACGTGTTTCGTCGCGTGCAGCACAAAAATTACCCCGTTTGCGCAAATTTCTTGACGAGGAAAAAAAAAACGTTTTCCGCGTTACGTACACAAGCAGCAGCAACAACAACAACGACGTAACAGTTCTTCGTTTCATTGAATTGCGCAACATCATTCGGACCGGAACTTCGAAACCCGCTTTATTTTTAACGCTCAATTAATCCGAAGCATTAGATACAAGGATAACATTCACACTTAATCAATTAACCGGTTAACTTCCAATCTTAACCATTAACATTGACAACTTAATCTTGATTGATGCATCAAGATTAGATTAAGCGCATCTGAAAGTACAATTAACAATTCCATTTAACAAATATACTGTAATATACATCAAATTACAAATTTCTGTTAATTAAATTTGCGCAAATCTCCATTAATACTTGTCGAGTAAATCGCTGTCTTTCAACAAGTTAATATCGCATTACAGATGATGATGAATATTTACAACTTACAACTTAAGTTCTGTAATATGCATGAAATTGTAAATACAATTGTAGTCATTTTCAGTTAAGTAAATTTGCGAAACTTGTCATCAACACTTGTCAAAGTTAAATTAGGCGTTTTAACAAGTTGGTATCGCTTTACTGATGCGAATTTACAACTTAATCTCAGGTTAACGGCAAAATCGGAAATTGTAATCGTATGAATAAGTATTAATCGCAGCTTCCACTATTTATTTTTATTGGTTGCATAATCCGGTTGTGTATGTGCTGCATATGTCGGTATATCAGCATCAATCGTTTTCAGGGGGGAGAGAGAGTTGGAGGTAGGTACGTGATCGTTCACGGCTCTTCACCCCAATTGAAAAGGGTGCAACTTAGCGACAAGGGCGAGCGAGAAACAGTGATGGAGATAGAGAGGAGCGCGCGGAACGTTACGTAATAAAATGGATGCGATGTGGTCTCGTAACAAAGGATAACATCTGCTCCCAGGGCGTATCCGATGCGAGTCGACACGCGCGCTCCACGAAATTGCCAAAAAAAAAAATCTCTCACATATAGTTTTTCCCCTTTTTTTGTTCCATCTGGTTATACTAATAACACTGTCACGTTTTTCGTTTCCAAGCACATTACATGCTCCATTACGGGATGATCATTTTTGTTTTTTTAAATGAAACCACGAAGAATCAAGATTTCCTTAACTTTTCAATTACGTGTTGATTAAGAAACTAATCTTACGTAATTATTACATTAGGAATATTCAATTTTTAATGAAGGCGCACGAACTTTTCCTAACTTTCAAACAATTAGCAAAACTTGATGAATCCACAAATTAATTAGAATTCGTGATAATATTAAGTGGTTAAGCATCAAGCAAATAATACATATAGCAATTTGTTAAAAACGTTGGGATATAAAACAAGTATGCATTTTTCTGGTTTTTAAAGACACGAAGGTCATTATTTAGGAAGATATAATCTAGAGTCGTAATGTTATGAGAAGGTGGAAGGTAGTTAGCTACAGGGAAATAAATCAATTAGTTAGATTCGATGAAGTTGTGTGTACATGACAAACCTTAAGAATGGCGGATAAGTTTCGGAGTTAAAGTTAAACGTTCCGTGCTTCGAGCCGAAACTAGCGGAGCTTAGTATTGTGGAAAAATCAATAAAGATTCCCCCTCGAGCACGCAAGGGTGTCCTTTTCTCTCTCTCTCTCTCTCTATATGTATATATGTATTCCTCCTTCACCACCGCACCGCCGCGACTGAGTCAAGCTGAATCCGAACACAAAGAACGGAACCGGAAAACATGTAAGAAATCTCGCGAAATTCCCATACAATTATCGCGGATTAGTAAATGTACGCGTGGAAATAATAAGTAAAGGATGAATTGAGTCGTTTCGTCGCGAGAGTTTCCTGTCGTCGCAGCTTTCAGCTGTAGCAAATAAAAAGCTTCGCCAAACAAAATCGAGATTACTTGGCTTCACTTCAGAGCCATTTATCACGGGCGACATAATCCGCAGCGGACAGAAAAAGCAGACTTCCGAAATGAAATATTTATAAGGTGAATCCGTCACGAATGCGGATGGAGTGTTTGTACGAGGATTGAGAGGATGTAGATGATGGGTATGAGGAGGAAGAGGCGACCCCTCTGATTCCGCAAACGCAAGAGTCTATTATCGCCGCGTCGGAGGAGACATGTGGCGACCCCAGTTTAAGCACGGGCACATCATTAATACCCACCCCGAACAAAAAGAAAAGAAACGAAAATAATAATAAGTAAACTATAAAACTGTGTGTTTTGTGCGCTTATATGCGTGTCGTGGGGTTCATGCTCGACGTCCGTGTAATTGCCTCGGCAATAACAATTATAACGGTCCCGGAAAAGTAATAGAAAAGCTTACAAACTACCAATAAAAAGAAACAACGCACGACTACAACTGACAACTAACTCGCTTACTGACGCATAGACCAAGTCTTTAGATGTAATCATTATACTGCGATGATGATGAAAGGACACCTTAAGAGAGATCTCTGCTTGATTTACAAATTTTCGAACATGATCTCATCTACAAGTTGTAAACTTTACGACATCATGTGTAATATGATAACGACGAGCTAAAAATCACTGCAAAAGTTTGATAAGTCCGAGTAAATATTTGAGAACACAATAATACTTAATATTCTCGATTAATATTTGGTAGGCTTAACTACTTACAGAACACACAAAATAATAACACTTACTTAATCATTTGTCGATATTTACTTACGATAACATCTATTTTCCTATAAACATTTAATTTACTTTATATCAGTTGAACGACAATGATCGCAAAAACTGTTTATATCCATAATTGCAAATTTTTATAATCTTGATTTTAAAAACAGAGCTAAATTCTGGGCTCTCAACTTAAAGTATTCACGGTTCGAATGCCAGAAGAAAAAAAAAATTAACGAGAGGTGAACCATGCAATTTAGATGCAAATTGAAAACCTTGGTAGAAAAATCTCACTATTTAATCTATACTGGTTTGTAAACAAAACTGCTTAAGTCGGCTTAATTAATGAAATATTCAGCTGAATCCCGAAAACGGATGTTACAGCATCCGGCCGAAATACTTCTAGTGTTTGCACTTTCTTAAAGGTTGTTTATTTTCGTAAATGGATAACCACAACACGAGGGGATCTTTCACTTCGAAATGATTTACTACAGCAAAGAGTTCTTTCATTATTGAAATGATCAAATTAATGTGATTAAAGTAATGTAAAAACTGTTAAATTATTATGCAACAAATCAATGAAATCCGGAAGCTAACGCGCAACGCTTAATAAAATTAACTAATTACTTAGTGGGAATTTCGAAACTCGTTAACGCCGGTTCGCTTTTTTTTTATAGACGTTATATTTCCTTACCGATTTCTATGCCGACTACTACTACCACCAGAGTGCGGATGCACGCGAAGGCTATAAATAGGATTTCGAGCAGCGAGCGAAGAAGAAATTGTCCGTAAAGCCGCTTAATGGCATCGATATACGAGCACGCGCGCAATCCTCTAATTGTTACATAAATCCGAATAACAAATTAACAAATAAACACCCGTTCGCGAATCATCATAATAATAATAATGCAAGTCAGAAAATTCTGACTAATTCGACTGTATTATGCGCTGAAGTGGGGAAGAAGATGAAGAAGGCAAAGGCAAGGCACAATTTATGGGCGCTCCTTTCTTCTTTCTTTCTGCCCGGAGAAAAGGTATTTCCATGGAAGCCACATGCAGCACGGAACAAATGCCACCTTAATCACTGAAATCAACAGTTACAATTACGAGAGGTTCAGGCAGACAAAACCTTTCCCTAACTGTAAACTGTGCACAGCCCCCTTTTTTTTCCTCATTCCTTCTTTTTACAATTCGAAGATTGCCACCCGAATAACGCGAAACTTGCTAATAAAGATACATAAACAAAGAGGTGTTAAAAGATTCGTCAACAATCGCATCAATCGGCGAGAGCGGTAATTGCATTAAAACTGTTTACGTAACTGATTTCGTTAAGCTGACGATAATTGCGAAATCTTAATAATTGCGAATTTCTAATGGACAACAATCCGGTATTTCCATTTGTAGCAAAACGTTAAAACAAATGTTATGTTTAAAATGTACAATGTTTAATATGCAAACCAGGTAATTTCCACAGTCACTTCCACGAATCACGTACAAATTCAAGCACAATTACGCTATATAATAATAATAAAAAAACTCATTAAAATCGTATATAAATCTAATTTTATGTTTTTTTTTTGTTGTTTACCTTTAACAGTAATTACCATAATCAGTTAATTACTTTATAATCAGTTAAACGCATAAAAAGCGCAAACACTCGTAATTCACAATTGATTTGAACTTTGAATTGCATTATTGTTTATCGCAAATCGTAAACATTAATTAACACTTTAACAAAACGATTTCGCAACTATTCAAATAAGAATTGCTGTTGATTTATCTCGCTTTATTTTTATTTTACCACAACAGGAAACAATAACGAAACGTAATGCGGTTGCGATTTATTATCTGGTAAAACCAACCAACTTTATAACAACAACCGCAGCGGAGAATCGCGATAATAAAAATTATTGCTGATCTCATTCGAACAAGAGAAATTTAACGCATACACAAACACAAAAATCTGGATCGAAATTGTTTTTGGCTCTTATCCAGAAAAAAAATAAAATAAAATGATGAGATGAGAAGCAATTAGCAAGGAACGAAAACGTAATTAAAGAACAAACCGGATGAGTAATTTGAATATTTTGTCGAGATTTAGTGGGACCATTTCCGTGCATCAATTAACGGGTCTCTCGGAAAGAAAGAATGAATGAAGGAACTAAAACGAAAAAGTAATTAAGTACAGTATACAAACAGTTTTTTTTCTTTTTTTTGAATTACACTTGGCGAGAAGTGGGTGTCGTTGGGTAATAAACGTTAGCTGCATGATTTTTGGAATCATTTAAATAATGATGTTTGTTCGGAACCAAGAGAAATCAATATTTGATTAGGGCTTCTGGCTATTGTATCAATAAACACCACGAGCAAACATATTCTTAAGTGTTATGTACAGAATAACTTTCTTAAAACTCTTCACGAGAAAGATAATTTCAATATAATAACAAATGTGTAAGAATGGCAAAAATGTTTACGGATTCTTCATATGTGTATTACCATACATTTAAACTTTTCGCATTCGTGAGACAATTACTGACATTATCTTCTTAGCCTTGAAGCTTTAGTTATTGTAACATGGACACGGTATAAACATTTCTTAAATATAAACTTATATTTCTATAATGAGTAAGTTTGTTGTATCCAATTTACAATTTGTTAAGTATAAGAATATAATTGTGCAAACGAAGTCTTATTTGCACGATGCTATTGTATTTGTGGATTAATCAAAATAATGATTAAAAATCAATTTGTTTCGCGTTGTGTTTGTATACAGATCTGTAAATCTTTGCTATTGCTATTGAAAGTGTTGCTGTAAACTGAATGGTAATTGTTGGAACTGATGATGTTATCCGCGCAGATTTCGGTATCACAACGAACAACAAAACAAAGGTTTTCTCTTGAGTAACGGCAACGCTCGTTATAGCCGATCTCTTCGCGTTTGGCACATCGCTGACATTTGTTTATAACTGGCAGGCCGCGTTCCGTGCAATTACCGGCCATAAAGATTATTTATTTATCGCGTCGTAAATATGGCCAATAAACAACAGTTGAGAATCGATAGAAAGCAAACGGCGGCGGCGGCAATAAAACCGTGCAGCCGCCTCCATCCTGCAAACCCGAGATGCGGCGACAGCTTCTCCCGAAAATACATTAAAATCTGCTTCGTACACGGAATGGCATCCGAAAGAAAGGAAGGCGAACGAATATGTCCATGATGTTGATCATCAGCCGATGATGAGTTGTCTCTTTCTCCTCGAATGATGCGTGCAAATGAGCGAGCGAGAGAGAGAGACGATCGTGCAAAATGTAAATATTTGCATGCGGAACAATTGCCAGAATCCGCTCCTGCACCATCGGAGGAATCGCAACAGCCTTGCATTAAAACAAAACACTTGTGTGTGTGATTGGTGTGGTGTAACTTTCGCGACGTTTCTTTCTTTCATTCTTTCCTCCTGCTTCCTTAAAACTACTGGTATAAACTCTTGGTAAACTTTGGGTAACGTACCTTGTGGATACTATATTATCGGCCGACGTCGCAGTCTTGGACCTCGTCGCCTTAGGAAATCTGCAGGGGATGTTTGTTGCACACATAGGGAGGACAATGCGATGTCGCAGGGAAGAATCTCGTCCTTCCTTCGTTGTTTTCGACAGGGGAACTACACAGGCTGGCCTTCGGCTGGGCAGCATACACACACACAAGAGAGTCAATGCACAATGTTGCTCGTCTTCTGAGAGCACGTTTACTACATGTTCCTAAATAACTGCATCGCCGCAAGCAACTGCAGCAGATTAAAAGCGCACAGCACACACCGTATTCAGTCTACGTTACACCAAAATATTACCGAACACACGGAGGGTCTACTGCGTTCGATTTATCGATCAGTCGGCCATTTTACTCTCCTCCAGTAGCTTCATTCAACTATCCTTCCTTCGGACCAGGGGGACAGGATCGACGATAGTGGTGACATCTGCCGCCGAAGACACACCATCGACATCTGGTGACGAGCCAACGCAACATCTGCAAATTCAAAACGAAATTTGTACCTGCATAATGTTTGAATCTAATCGTTTTATTTCGTACACAAAGGTTCCGGGCTAGTACTAGCTACAAACTACTGACAAATTTCTCCAAGAACATTTAAGGAGATAATTTAGAAACTTGGGTATTCGCATTTGAAACCCAGTATTTTCATCTAAATATAAGCCTGAGATTGAATTACATTTAATTGTATCTCTTTACATACAAATTAAATACAATTAAGTAATAATTTCATCTTTTCCGGGCAAATACTAGGTACAAACTACTGACAAATTTCTCCAAAAACATTTAAGGAGATAATTTAGAAACTTGGGTATTCGCATTTGAAACCCAGTATTTTCATCTAAATATAAACCTGAGATTAAATTACATTTAAATGCATCTCTTTACATACAAACTAAGCACAATTAAGTAATAATTTCATCTTAAGCTCATTAATAAGATTTTAATAGAAATCAGAGATCAATTTAATCATCTTGTTTCTTTTAAACTGATCTCTGATTTCATAATATTTAAAATTAGATCAACTTACATTTCAATGAATCATTTCCAGCCTAAACATAACTTTTTGCATTCCTGAAGTATACAAGATTGTTCTCTTAATGAAGATGTTCTGAAATAATAAAAATACATCAGATATTAAAGATGAAATTTAAATATAAAATGTAGCCATTACCTTTAAGTCTATTAGAAATCACACTTTAACTGTTTCTTCCAATTTGAAAGTAGACTAGATAATTGCAATCACCTGAAACATAAATAGTTAGTAGAGTTCTTGATATATCTTTTACTTCTTTTAAATCAATACTTACATAGAATGGTATAGGAATCAAAAGGTTTTTTTTTTGTAATAAGACTAAATCATACGTTACCAAAACTTTAATTTATAATATGTAATTCATTTAAGCATAAGAAATAATCATATTGATTATTTAATTGTTGAATTCTATTATATCATAGGTGGAAGGACTGGAAGAATCCTGTAAAGAAAATGCATTAGTATGGTGATTCACGTATAAAAGTGCACGTGTTGATTTACCAATAAGTGAATTAGTAAAGTAACATATTACCTCTGATAATCAACTAAAATATCTACAAAATGAAAGAGGTGTGGATGGTGTGAAAGGATGTTGGAATGTGTTGAAGATTCGTTTACTGGATGGATTGGGAACTTACGTCGTCAGAGTTGGATGGACTTAGGGCTCCAAATAACATGGTTTCTACAAAAAGAGGATATAAAACATTATTTATTCACGTATTCTCGTCAGCAGAAGGTTTCCACGTTTGTAGCAAATCTTGTAATAGGGAAGGTTGTCGTTACCAGTAATCGGATTCGGGGTCTCCACGACAGGCGGTCCAGCGATGATCTCGAATCTAGTGGCCACCTGCCATTATTACGAAAGTTATTTGAAACAATCGAGACGAGAATTGCACTTACCGCGTCGTAATCCATCCTGAGAAGCATGCAAAGTTCCTTCTGTATGTCCGCCGCCTGCTTCGCATCCTCCTGGTTCCTCGTGGTCTTTCTGAACCTCGCCTTCCTCACGTTCTTCATCGGCGGAGCGATGCCGTGCGGATAATCCAATACCTTCTCGCGATCTTCACCAGGTTCGCAGAGCAACATCTGCGAGATGGTCGCCGTTTTATACAGGTTCACGTTGTTCAGGGTCTTGCAGGATTCCACGATAGTCGGTAAATTGACGAGGACCGCCTTGATCCGCTTCTTCCTTACGGTGACGGTGGCCTCGACCATATCCTCGTCGAACGACAAGCTCAGAACTTTTTTCAGCTTTTTCGGCTTGGCTTGCAACACCTTATGGACATACTCAGCCTCCGCCTGAAGCGCGACACACGTTATTGGAATTTTATATAATCAAAATTGGATTAAATCCTGAAATACCTTTGGCAGCCTAAGGATGAACTGATCCTCCAATTCCACCTTCTCCTGCTGCTTCTCCATTCTTACTGACGACCACTTCGTAATTCGACTAAGCAATTGTTTGTTTATTCATTTGTTATCGAATCCACGGGTAACTTACACTTTTCAAAACAATATACAAAGGAAACCGTTGAAAACTTGTTTACTTTACGAAGATACGTTAACAAAACGATATTGCATATAAGAAAAAAAATCTGCAACTTATGCAAACTTTACTGGTCTACAAAGTTTCAAACTGTAATTGTACATTTGGTTGCATAAATCGTATATTTGAATTTCTACTTAAACTTAATACAACGAGATACTTAAAGCTTAAGTAATTAATTAAAATTATAAGTAAATTTTATTTATAACAAATATATATACAAGTAAAATGAATGTCGAGTGGCGTGAACCTGATTTCTATCACATCGCGAAAGAAGAAGAAATTAAAAATAGATTTAAACTAAAAAATTTCACTATTTCCTGTTCAAATCTGACGGTATTTCGTTCCCTCCTCGTTGATACGTAACTTTGTCGGCGTTTCCGAATTCCGAAACTATGTAGAACATTATGATCAGCGCTGCGCCCATTCCAATCAAGAAGCGATCCCTCTTCGCGTTGTTGCTATCCTCGACCTCGGCGACTCGCTTATACTCTGTATGCTTTCGCCTCATCCTGTCCTTTTGGAACGTCGCCCCGTAATGCGCTTTCGTCCATTCATCGAAATCGTAAATCGGAGTCCGACCCGTCGGCGGTGGAGGTTTGTGCCTGTGCTCCCTCGACCTATAGAACCTCGTCGTCGGATCGTCTTCGGGTTCTTCGTAAGCTGGCTGAGGTCTCGAATTTGCAGAAATATGATGCACACCTGAAAACACAACATTGAAAAACCCCACACAAGAATTGATCAAATCCAATTTTTTTTTTACCTTTATCATAGAGACGTCTCAGCCTGACGTTGCCAAGGACTTCGTAGGCTTCGGAGATGGCTCTGAACTTGTGATGAGCCTCCTCACTGTTCTTGTTCCTATCGGGATGGTACACCTTGGATAGTTTGTAGTAGGCTGATTTGACGTCAGCCTGTGTTGCTTTCGGTGATATCTCCAGGGCATCATAGTGATTCTGCTGGAGGCATGCATTCGATGTCCTTATCCCTCTCGAGAACAGGCTGCTGGCTATGTACTTGTAGGTTAGATTGTTGCCCAGCAGTTTCACACACTTCATGCTAATTTAATTACCCTGCACCTGAAGAGCGAATTAGGCTGGATTAAATAAAAAAACGTGTCGTTAAACATAAATAAATAATGGACTTGTACAATTTTTTTTTTTTCATTACATCACTAACCAAAAACGTCACTGTCACTGGGATCAGGTAAGAGGATTGCGGAATGTTATCGTTGCGATAAAAATCAAATGCAGTTTTCGGAGAGACATCGCAACCAAAACGATTTCAACGAGAGATGTTATTTAATCATCACAGTTTACAACGAGAATCAGCAGGCGTTTAATGTCAACTTGGTGGTCTATACTTTCGAATTTCTTATAGAAGTATTAGATGTTTAAGTTTTATTATTAACTATTTTACGTAAGCCACTCCCATTTATCGTTACAATGGGCGGAGTCAGTAACTTCGACCAATAGCAGCAGAGAAGGAGGTTGTTCTTATTTCAACGTGTTTAATATAATTTATTATCTAAACGAATACATAATATATTTATCACTTGAATAATTATATTGAACATTGGTGTATTTGATTTCATCTGCTAATTACAATCTACCAATTAGCGCAAAACAACGAGACGACGGTCCCCCTTTATATCATATACATATATAATTTATATTAGCTTAGTGCACTTGTAGGCTTAACTACAACTTGTGCGCGTTTACATTGACAGTGCGCTAATTGCATTTCATTTGAACTAAACAAAAAAAAATAGAGAGAACAAATACTTATGTACATTTAAAAAATTATGTTTTAAAAATATTAGCATCAATAACTTAAAAATAATAATATATATGGTTGAGCTAATAATTTTGAAAGAATTTCATATCTGGCATGGGCATATTTATGGGCCCCGAAGGATAAGGCACAGCGTTGGGTGCAACTGATGGCACTCCAGGAAAATAATTACTGTTGATGTTCATGGGTGGAGCATTGATGTAGTTGGTCTGTCCATAAAACCCGTCCTGCGAGATCAGCTTAGCCATCTTCTCAGCCTTCACCAATCTCATATGCATCACCTTCCTCTTCACCAAGAACACATCCAAGAAACTGTCCAAATCTTTATCGCTGTCCAAGAAACTCTTCGCAAGATCATCAGACTCCTCCTCCATTTCGCTGGCCGCAGTCTGCAGCAAAGCGAGCGCCGTTTCCGTCGACATAAAACCACCTTTATCTCCTAATAACAAAAGATAAAATGAATTGATGAACCAAATTCCAATTAGTTGTAAACTCACTCAAATCCTTGTATTTTTCTTCCACCGTCTTGGACAACTCTTCACCTTCAGCAGAGAGCTCCTCAACCTTCTCACGCCCCTCAACAAGCTCAGGTTCCCTGGCCAAGTTGGCATCGCTCAATGAATTTATGCTGGTGAGGATCCTCTCCTTCTCGGATTCCAAATTCATTAGATAACACTAAAAGGAAATTCATCATTTACATACATCCTAGTTACCAAAGCAAACAATTGACTAATTAAACAGCTTGATTGAATTGACTCATCCCTTACCTGATCCAAATTCCCTATCAGGCTCTCAATCTTCTCATCGTCGTTCATGATCTCATCCAGATCAGCGTTCTTCAGATGAGACAAGGATGCTATAATCCTCTTGCAATCCGTATGCAAGCCCTGCATAGACATGATTCACAATATTTACCTTGTATTTACTGCAAAACATTAGCCCACTGACAGTTCTTTGATTAGAATCTGTCGACTCTCAGCACCTCTACCAGAACTTCGAAGAACTAAAGTTTTTAAATTTTAAACTCGATTTTCGCCAATTTCATACAATTAAACCATAAAAATTAATTGTTAAAATTACATATTTAATTAATTTTAACAGTTTAACTACTGCAACTGTAGTATTCGATGGAAATTAGTGAGTTAATTATTGTTTATTTTTGTTTCGATAGTTCAATTGGAAACGGCAGAGGTCGTGATCCTGGCGAAACCCGCTTCTCACTTTTTTGGTTTCAAATTGTAGGTTACCTCGTTCAACAAGTCTCGCCGTATATTTAGAAACATATTTTAATTAAAGGTAAGTTTATTATTGTTTTTTTTTGTGGAATAACTTGTGCGTGTAATGAATGTATCTTTTTACTAGATGCCAGCGTTTACGAAGCTGCAGAAAGTCGTGCTCTCTTTGGGTGCTTTCAGTGGAGCAGCTATTTATTATATTAATCAGTCTGAGGACAGAACTGCATTGGCTTCGTGGACCACCAACTACATTCCATCGGTGGAGTGGGACAACAATTGGGACAGGTTTGTTTCAGTGATTTCGTATTTGGATTTCGATTGTAAAAAGTCTATTTAGGAGGTCACCGCATAATCTTGTGCATCCGAAGAAGTTGAACAACAGTGCGCACAGTGAAAATGAGATTAACAAGCAGCTGGAGATGAAGAAACCGAAGGCCACCAGACATATCATTTTGATTCGCCATGGCCAATATAACACGGATGGGGAGACTGATAAGGAGAGGGTGTTGACTGATCTGGGAAGGATGCAGGCTTTGTCCACTGGGGAGAGACTGAAGGAGCTTGGCTTTCCATTCACGGATATGGTTAAATCAACAATGTCCAGAGCACAGGAGACCGGAACTTTGATTTCGAAGGCTCTACCATCTGTTAGTTAATTAACTTTTTTTCTTAAACAAAATGATTGATTTAAATAATTATTGTTTAGGTGCCAGTTGAGAACAGCGATTTGCTGAGAGAGGGAGCTCCGGTGCCGCCGGAGCCACCAATTGGAGATTGGAAACCGGAGCCTCATGTAATATACACGTTTTGTTCACACTTAAATTTCGTTGGATTAATGTTCTTCTAGTTTACGGGTTTGGCTTGGGTGGAGAAGTTCATGTATATTTAATTTGCATATTTTCAGCAGTTCTTCACTGACGGAGCTAGAATTGAAGCGGCTTTCAGGGAGTACTTTTACAGGGCCAGTCACTCGCAGGACGAGAACTCTTACACGATTCTCGTTTGCCATGCGAACGTCATCAGGTACTTCGTTTGCAGGTGATAATTCGTGGCTTTAGTTTGTTATTGAAAACACTGTAGTTGATGATGTGATGTTTCAGGGCTTTACAGTTTCCTGCCGAAGGATGGTTGAGAATCTCTCTGAATCACGGCAGCATCACCTGGATGTCGATAACTCCGAGCGGAAGAGTGATCTTGCGTTGCCTCGGCGACACCGGCCACATGTCTCCGGCAATGATAACGAGCAGATAGACGAAACACTTAAGTATGATAAATAATTGGAATAGTATTTCGATCACTCGCAAGAACAATGAGATTCTCACACAGTCGTCATCAAGAGTATTATTACAAACAAACATTCATTATCTTTTTATATATATCTATATATATGTGTTTTAAGCACTCTCTTTTTTAATCCAGATGCAAACCTGTCTTGCCCACATTTAGCCCCGTTCTTAAAACGCGCGGTTTGTATTTCTGTAATATGTTTTAAATAAAGATGATTAGTCCAGTCAGAATTTTGGAAGATTCAAAACGAAATCTCGTATATTTATATAGTAAAATGATAAATATTGTATTAAAATTCACCGGTTGGGCTGCAATGTGTTCGTTATGTTCTCCAGAGACTCGTAAATCGTGTATTTCGAGGCGGGAAAGAACGGAAGCAGAAACTCCCAAACTTTGTACTCCAACGATAAAATCTTGCATATGTGCGAAGCGCGAAACGTGTGGACGTGTTTCGCGCAATTGATCAAGCCCTGCACCTGTAATTCATTCATTCATTCATTAGTTAATTAATTGAATCATTCGGTTGAATCGTTGCGGGTTTACAATTCCGAAGCAGTCGTCTTTGCCGAGTATGTCGATGACGATTTCGTCGGAGGCTTCGATGTCCAAAACTTCCACCTGACCCGACTGAATAAAATACATCGTCGAGTTGACCTCTCCGGCGTGACAGATGACGTCTGAGGCGAAGTAATTGGTGAGTTGCAGCTTCGAAGACAGTTGCCTCAAGAAGTCGACGTGACAATTGCAGAATATGGGATTCATGATCAAATGCTTCCCGTAGATCTCCATCATGACGTAATCGGTGACACAGCTAGGAGCCAACGTCAAGAACTTGGGCATCTGTTGACCGTTGTTCTGTATCCAAATTTGGTGCGTGTACTTCGTCACGTTGTGAATCAACTTCTTCGAGATGTTGCTCCTCATCAGCGTGGTCTTTGAATTAAAATCAAATAATTTACCTGAAGATGAATGAAACAAACTTACGAGTAATTTCTCGACCAGCTGATTGTACAGGTTCAGAGAGAGCTTGATGTGCGCGTAGAAGCTCAAGATGAACCCACTGATCGTCGCGAAGATGTACTTGCATCCGGTGCTGAAGACTATACAGACGATCATGTCCGTAGGAGAATGAGGAACTATGTAGGGATGTCCGTGAAACGTTATTGTAGTGATCGTGTAGAAGAGGCTGCAGATGTAAGGGTCGTTGCAGTTCTTGCTGCTCAGCCAGGATTTCTTATGCAGATACGTCTCCGACAGTTTGGCGGTCAAGAAAAATATGCAAGCGCCGCCCTGTATGACGAAAATGATGTATGAGGTAATTGCAATCAGCTTCTCCAAAATCATGTGATTGCTGAACTGCTCCACCTCCTTAAAATACCTGAATATGTAGAACTAAACTATTGCATTAATTACATCGTGTTCAGATAAAGTGGTAATACCATTCGAAGCAAACGGTTGATGTGGAGGAACGTGAATAATTTAGTGCGTAAATCGCCGGTGAAAAAATAGGCTAAAGCCTCAAACGGTAGGATCGAGAGTAAATCCAAGAGGAAACTCTTTATGGGAAAACTGCAAGAAATTTTGATGTGTTTATATATTTTTTTTTTTGGTAATTTTCTAACTTACCGTGTCATCTTCTTTCTGCGAGCGCGCTGCTGTTGCTTGTACACAATATTGATGTGCCTCAAGTTGACATAGATCTTCAACGCGAAGATGACGTCGAACAATGTGATCAGCGCTTTAACGTACACGTTCATCTTGAACATCATGTAGAAGGTTATCGTGACGAAGGAGAGCATCGCGAACGCCAGCTCCATGGCCATCGACGATTCCATCCAGATCAACGTTTCGAAGAACACGTTGATTCTGCTCCTCGTAGGCTTGAATATGTTGCAGTTGGTGCTGCTCGTTATATGCGACAGAGATTTACCGATGATGTGGTAGTTCATCCTGGCGATGCATTCCGGATCGTTCTCCAGCAGCTTGTAGAAGAGTATCGTGTCGATCTCCAGCAGCACAACGTTGGTCCTGGCTTGCACGGAAACCATGCTCCTGCTCATCTCGACTTCATCGATGTTACCGAACATGCTGCCCTTTCCCAAGAGCTCGAGGAAACTCCCATCGGCCGTATAAAGGGCCACTATACCTTTGTTCACTATGTACAGCTTGTTCACGATGTCGTTGCGGAGGATCATATAAACGTTATCCAACACGTACACCTCATTGAAATTCAATCCGAGCCTCCGAATCAAGCCTATGCCCATGTTCAAGAAAGGAGGCGCTTTCAACAACGTTTTAGAATAAAGGATAACCGCCAGATCCTGTTTAATGCTATCGGACACGTTCTTGAAGAGCTTGCAATTGGTTCCCTTGGATTTCGCCCACATAAACTCAAAATAATCGATCGTCCTCCTGAAACCACAAAATCAATCACAATAAGAATCTAATCGAATCGAACATTTCGCACTTGGTCAATTCCTTCGTCACTTTCTCCTCGGAAAGAAACTTTTTCAGATGGCTCAAATTCGAGTAGAACGAAGACAACTTGTTGGCGATTCCCATGTTCGCAGCGATTCGCACAATGAAAGCCATCATCGTCATGTAACCTAACGCAATCAAATTAACTCAAGTTTAAACCAACTGTGAATATCGCAACCAATTAAGCAGCAGAAAATGCTCAATATCTTTTCGTTTCCATCCGGAGCCAAATCGTTACGTTCGTAACCCAACAGAAGCACGTACATCGAGACCCAACGCAAGCAGGTCAGATAAAAGTATATCGGTTCGTTAAGATCGTAATCCACTTGAGCTAAAACCAATAATCTTGAATCAATAATTCAATCATTTTGTCCAATATCTTACACATGATTCGATGGTCAGTGAGCCAGCTAAAGTTCTTCGGTCTAATGTAGTACTGCTGAGTGTCCTGTTCGTAGACAAATTTCCCGGTGGTCAGCATCAGCATGCAGGCCAAGAAGTTGTAGAAAATCAAGAATATCGCGATGAAATAAACGATGACGCTAGAAATGCGAGAAATTTGAAAATAAAATTGAAGATGATTGCCTGCAATTTTTCTTTACAGCGTTAATACTGGTTTATCGAGGACCTTTTTGCTGTGCAACAAGCAACGAGAGCGAAAGATGAGGAGGAACTTGTTCATCGTGGCGACGGCTTCGTACATGCAGATGCCTGCCGCAATCTTCATGTTGCTCTTATCGATAACGATGGTGATGATCATATCCAATGGAATCATAGCGAACACGTCCAAAGGCATTCGCGTTTTGATGTAGTTCTGAGCCGTGTAGCTCGGATGCGAGATCAACAATCCGTTCTCGTTGTAGTAGCAAACGTGCATCTGCATATAACTGATACCAAAATCAGCTTAAGAATCAAGTTAAGAATTTATAAAAGGGAACGTACATATCGACGATGAGGAGAGCGTTAGCGCATAGCATATACTTTCTGATGTCGGGAATGTACTTTTCGTAAATGTAAATAGCGGGATTGATCATGCAGATCAACCAAACGACGATGGTGCGCATTATCTCGTAATACAGACAGAACTTTCCATCCGGCATTAACGTCTTCTTCATAGCCACGAATCTGTGGATAAAGAAAATAAGATTAAAAAAAAATTTAAAAATAAAGAAGAAAGGGAATTACTTGAGTAACCAGAAAACGGAATTCTTCTCGAACTTCTTGCGGAATTCAATGTTGAGTCGATGATTCCTCTTATTGGGGAACACGAACCACGACTTCTGCGACTCGTAGGTGACTCCTGTGCCACGGAAGAAATCTGTCTTCCTCATCTTGACTTTATCATTTTTTTCCTTTTTTTGGTATCAAATTGGTTTAGTTTGTTATTTGAATTGATTGTGTACGTACAATGTTGTTCTGCAGCTCCTCCATTAGGATCTTGAATGTTTCGAACAAGGTCGGATGCAGCTTGAAGGCGTACAGCACGTCGGCTCTTGAGATCTTCACCAGAGACACGTGAGTTATGGTTCTGATGTCCAGAGGGTACGGCTTTTGCAGGAGCGTTGCGATGCAGCAGAAATGGTCGTTCGGCTTCAAAGTCCATTTCACCCTCGATGTGAATTCAGATAAAACCTATTTTTTAATACAATGTTGCTTTTCTTTTTGAGGTAAATGATATAAACATACTTCGCAATATCCTTGATCGATGATGTACATGTTCTTGAGAGCGACTCCGTTGTAAACGACAATTTCTCCGGGCGGAAGGAACTCGGTTTGAGCTAAAGAAGCGAGCGATTCTTGCACGTTCAGAGGGACGTTTTGGAAGAGCGGAATGCTCTGAATTAGGTTCAGGTAGTAAGCGATTTGCTGCTCGTTGTAAAGGAAGTCGGGGAGATCTCTGAGGAGCTCCTTATTGCGAAGCCCACCGTCGTACAACCATTGCGATTCCATGTACGAAATGATCCTCTTCTCGCTCTGCGCCGTTATATTGTGCACGGCCATGAATTTCTTCATATTGCGAACGGTCATCACGTATTTGTACCTAAAAACGAACATTAAGAATAGACAAAAAAGAAAACAATCTTTACCAAACAGCTCTTGTTAGACTCAGGGCGGCGCTGTAATCGCCCAAAGAGTAGTTGAAGAGGAAGAGGCTAAATGAAGACACGAGCAGCGTCATCAGGAGCTCCTGCATGTTGCCGATGTGCGAAACGCTCACTTGCGTCACCAAAGCCACCGAGTGGAACATCGAGAAGATGAACTTGATGAACTCGAAGCTGTACATATCCTTCTGCAGATTATTGTACAGCTTCTTGAACCAGCTATCCTCGGTGAAAAAACTCCTGGAAATCAACAAATCTATCAAAAACTTTTACGATTACAAACACATTGAATCTAATCACCAATGGAAATACAAGATCAGGTAATAGATGCATCCGTTCAGATAGCTGAAGCAAACGATGAAGAAGAAATGCTTTATGCACTTGAATATGTGGAACTTGATGGACATGAATCGCAGCTCCAATTTGTTGAAAAACACCGGCAACTGTTGATATAAATCCAAGTCAACTTAAACAAAAAATATGAATAAATAAGTTTTTATACTCTGTATAATTTCAGGAATCTCATTGAAAACATGATGATCCTGTACTTGAGGTTGGTTTTGCTATCTTCTGCGAGCATGACTGTCGCGAGCGTGTCCAAGGGAAGTGCCGAGATGAAGTCACAGGCGAACGCGAGATTGGTGCATCGTGCCTCGAAGATCTCAGTGAAAGTGATGTAGGATTTTTGCGGTGTTTCGATGACGGTGAAGAGCTGGATGATCACGTCGAGGCCGAAGATCAGCGTGAAGTAGATCTTGAATATCGCGATCATGTATCCGTTCAGTTCGGCTTTGAAGAGCACCTTCAGCGGCCAATAGAAGAGCAGCACTAGAGTGGTGAAGATGACGATGTACTCCCAGATGTGAATGAAGTTGGAATCTTCGCGCAACTTCCAAGGCCATTCCGTGTGAGTGAAGATGCCGTCGTAGCTGTTGATCTGCTCCTGAAAAACACATCAAAATCTAATCAATTAGTGAATGAAGTTAATTTTGAGATGATCCCGAACTTTGCTCAAGATGTAGGAATCGTGGAACTCGGTGAAATTGCCCAACTTGTAAATATTTCTGGCGTCGTAGATATCCAACTGAGTTTCGTCGTTGAGCACCTCCTTCATTTGAATTAGCGTTTTGTCGATGCTGAAATTTAACTATAATCATCACGAAGGATCAACTAACAAAAGGGAACTTTACATTTCGTCATTAATCTTAATCCTTTTGCTGCGCGCATAATTCATCTTCACCTGAGATGGATAATTTTAGGCAGTCTGCAAATTGCATCAAATAAATTAACTTACGTTCATTGTCTGGATGATGTTACGTGAACGATGGTAGCACTGCATGTTTATCAAGCACCAGAACCTCGGTTTGGTCAAGGTGTGCAAAATGCAATAGGTTTGAGCCACAATCTGAAGAGTTACGTAAACTGTTGTGCAAAGACTTAATAAAGTGTTAATATCTCACGGAAAATTTCCCGACCATGCTGTAAAATAGATGCAATTCCCCGAAGCAGCTGCCAACACCTAGAGTCAACACCGGGCTTTCGCTGTCCTCCTGCGACAGAATGCAGACGCTTCCGCGCGCTATGAAGAAGGACTTCAGACGCACCTGTCCATGTTCCAAGATTAGGTCTCCTTTATTGTAATACTCAACCTCCATCGCCGAAGACACCAATCTCTTGAACTCCAACGATTCATTCTTGAAAAGATACATCTGAAACAAGACGAAAATCTTAATTTAAAACACACAAAAAAATATATAATATTACTCACGCGATGCAAGGCGAACCAGAACACATCCAGCATCACCTCCTTCTGCAGAGCTTTAGGTAAAATGTTGTAGTAAACCTTCGTTGTCAACGTGCTCTTCTGGTGCCAAAAATTGATGTAATACTTCATAATCTTGTTGCACGTATTCTTCGGTATCCTCTCGTGATGCTGCAATCGAAACCCAATAACTCTTCACAGCTTCAAACAAACATAAAACCAAATTACCAGATATTTGCGGATCTGCCTCAAGCTGTTGGAGAACTCCACCTGGCTCAGATATTCCCCGATCTTCATCGCCGACAGATCACTGATGAAGAGGATGTTCACGAACATCGATATGAACATCGTGGCCATCGACAGTCCCATCTCGGTGTCGTTTCCGGATCCGGGATTCCCAAAACTTCTTTGAACGTTACCAAACAGAAATAATCCAATTTTTTAAAAACTCACCCAACGTTTGTTATAGCCCCGATCACGAAGAACAGCGTGGCAACGTACAGTTCGAGAGGAGTCATGTATTTGGTATCGCGCAGTCCCTTTCTGTATCTACCTTTGATACCCTCGGATAACCTCAGGGTCATAGGGTTTGTGTAGAAGCTGTTGTTGTGGTAACTGGAAGGAGAGCAACCCTAAACCGAAGCATTGAAAGAGAACTTTAACACTTTAACACACCTGACATGAGACGACCCACAAGCAGTTGAAGGTGTGTATAACGAAGGCGTAGATGAAGATATATTTAGAGTAGAAGACGTAGATGTTCTTGATCCGGCCAGCTTTCGAAATCCAATCTAAAATTAACACAATTAAATTACTTCATTTAACGTTAAGGTGATAAACGTACAGTGATAAACTAAAATCCTGTAATTTCTCAACAAGATGAGCACAACTTTCAGTATCTTCAGGTACTTATTCTCTACGTAGATTATCTCCACTATGACAGTGTAAATAGACAATATATCGATGATGTACAGTGCTGAAAATCCATTTAACTGTACACACTTAATAATTTATCGAATTAAGATTGTTTACGTTTGCTCAAGGGAATGTAGACGAACTTGTTGGTATCAGTTAGATTCTCGCGCATTACCGTAGCGATGATGTCTGCCATCACGAAGATGTTGGACAGGAAGGTGATCATGTAAACGATGGGATTCTTAATGATTTGATGCTCGAAATGTATCTGTGGAGAGAAGAAATTATTCATTTTATCTGCGAATTCGCAGCTTCTTACGTCGTAGGTTTCCAGAAAGTACAGCATAAAGTTGACGCACATCGACAACAGTTTCCATGGCAATGAATAAGTGAATTGGAGGAATTTGTTGTACATATCTTGCTGGAACGCTTTCGATTCGTAAGATCTCTGAAATGAACATTTATTTATAGAATTTTTACAGTTTACGAAATATTTTATTTACATACAAATTGTGGAATAGAAGTTGAAATAATAATGATTTACCTCTGAATCGTTCTCATCCTCACCCTCATCGAACTGGACTTTCGTCATCGCAAATGATGACAAACTGACCAACTGTCAGATAAGTTTATTTATGGTAACTATGGAGATTGATCTCAAAACAATTGTTTAATATTTAAAAATTTGTGGTGGCTGTTAAACCCGAAAAGGGGTAGAAATAGGGCCGGAGAGATTTATGTCAATAAATAAATTGATATAAATCTCTTAAACTTAAAAAAAAAAAAAAAAAATATTGAAATTGTGAAAACTCTGCCTTTAATTTTTATTTTTTTAATTGGATGAAACCACAGCAATGAATGACACAGCGCTACATTCCTAAAACATTCAGCTTTCATATGCATCTTTTGGATCTATTCTATCATTTGTAGTTTCCGAGAAAATCAATGAAATGTAAAAACACTGCTTTTTTCAACGT